AAAAAAAAAAAAATCTCTGGTTTGGCTTTTCTTTCCATTTCAAAGCTACATGGTCTTTCTGTCCTGGCATCTCTGCTCTGTATTCTTCTGTCTGTAGAGCTCTGCTCACTTGTAGCTTCTGCTCCTGCAGCTTCAATCTGCCTAGGCTTTCAAGGCTGCACAAAGGCAACTGTTGCCTCTTGGCTCTGGGGCAACTGGTAGTCCATCAGCATCCTGACTCAACACATCAATCTGAGCTACCAGGTTGAAACTTGGGATGTCCCTCTATTAAGCACTTCTAGTGGCTCATCTTTTCCCTCTGTCCTCATCTCTACCTTTGGAATCATATGCACCAAACCATTCCCACAACCCATTTTTCTGTGGTACCTTGGGTTAAATGTGGTGAATAACACAGATTCTTGAATCATGTAGACCCAGATTAAAATCCTACCCTGCCACTTAGAGCAGGGAGTCATTTAATCTCTGAATATTACACCCCTCATTTGGAAAATGCCAAAATTCTTGTCTTACAGCATCACTGTGTGGGTTAACCAACAAAATCCAAAGTATAAACTGGCTGTGGCTAAAACAAACAAATACACTGTTTTGGGAGGACATTATATACATTGGGAGCCTTTTATTCTTATGTGAGTAAACCATCCAGTTTATAATATCTGTTACTGGACATAGTTTTGAAATAAATATCTAAAGGAATAAAATACGACTACTCTCTTTAGAAATAAGTTTAAAAATATAACCTACCAATCAACAACCTTTAGTACAGACCACTAGTTGCACCTACTTCAATTCCGTACTCTTTTTTTCTCTCAACTTTTTCTGGACACATGACCACAAGAATGAAAGCTATATTTTCCATCCTTCCTTGTTGTTTACAAGTGGGTGTTATAATTAAGTCAGGCCAATGATGTTTAAAAAAAGAAGTGTGACTTTTGGGAAATTTCCTTAGACAGAGGGATGTAACCTTCTCATTGCCTTCCTTGCTGGCCAGAACGCTGCTGTGAGGCTGGGCCTTGAGCAATAAACTTGTATTATGGGTTAGAAGCCAAGAGCTAAGGTTGGCAGAGCAACACAGCAGCCATGAAATACCCTCTGGAATTCTTTTAAGTAAGAGAGAAAAACTGCCTTTTTCCTTATTTCTTTTTTTAAGAGGCAAGTCTCACTCTGTTGCCCTAGGCTAGAGTGCTGTGGCCCCAGAGCTCATAGCAACCTCAAACTCCTGGGCTCAAGCTATTCTCTTGCCTCAGCCTCCCCGAGTAGCTGGGACTACAGGCATGCACCACCACATCTGACTAGTTTTCCTGTTTTTAGTAGAGACCTGGTCTCACTTTTGCTCAATCTCTGATCTTGAACAATCCCCTAGTTCTGCCTCCCAGAGTGCAAGGATTATAGGTGTGAACCATTGTACCAGGCCCCAAAATGGCCTTTTTCAAAGCTGCTGGTATTTGGGGTTTTAGTTTTATGCTGCTGAATGTAATTTTAACTGATACACATTTCAACTGTTGGCATGTTACTCCTTTATAAGAAATTGTAAATGGGACATTATTTCAATACCTGAGGACCACACTACAATAGAATATTCCATAGGCTCAAGATTTTGAGACATTCTGGTGAGAGTTTTCTGTAAGGCATAGCCTTTCCGTGGCATGGCAACATCATTCTTCTTTAACAAGGTTATTGGACAAACATCATTTTCACCATCACCTATATAAACAATCTGTGTATAACTCATTACCTGTTGTGACTGTTTACCTACAAATTCTGCCAAAGCTACATTTTTGCAAAGATTCTTTGGGCATCTGTTGCAAGAATGAGCATGATAATTTTCCACAGTGAGATGACCTTTGCTATCAAAAGCTGCTGGGTTTGTAAGCACTTTATCAAACACATCATGAAAATTAGCAGCTTCTAAAACCCAATCTATGAAGACTGAATTTGAATCTGAAATAATAATACAGTCAAATTTATCCTTATTCTTTCTTATAAAGTTGAAAAGTTCCACCATTCCTGGAGTAAAAGGCACTGATGTCACTGCTCTTTTCATTTCATCTTCTCTTACACCTTTATCTCCCAAATACTTAAAGACTCTGCCCATAAACTCTGTCCACAATCCTTTTTGATAAGAATTCTGTAGTTCAATAGGAAGCTTTTTGCCTGGAGCACACTGTACAATCCAAGTGTCACTATTGTCATCTATGATTGTATTGTCAAAGTCAAAAACCAGCAAAATTTTCATGGTTGCAGATTTGGGTTACCCTGAAAAAAGAAGAAATATTATTCCCTACACAAACTGTTTACATATCTAGCTATTATACTTAATTTAATAAACATAACTAAATGTTAATTGGCTAAGACAAGGGATATAATAAACGTTATAAGCGTTTTAAGACTACCACATAAGCACTTTTCCCTAAGAGGCAAAATTCACATTTGAGTATTTTAAGTGAATGGAAAATAAAATATATAAAAAGACACTCATAGTTTCATTGTGTTCTTGTAAGGATGATTAAATGATTCTTTCTTTCTTTTTTTTTTTAAAAGACAAATTGTCCTTCTGTTGCCATGGCTAGAGTGCAGTGGGATCATCACAGTTCACTGCATCCTCAAATTCCTAGGCTCGCAGTAACCTCAAACTCCTGGGTTCCAGCAATCTTCCTGCTTCAGCCTCCCAAGTAGGTGGGACTATAGGCACATATCATCATATCTGGCTAATTTTTTCTGTTTTTGGTAAATACACGGTCTCACTCTTTCTCAGGCTGGTCTCAAATTCTCCATCTCAAGTGATCCTCCTGCCTCAGCCTCCTACAGTACTAGGATTACAGTAGTGAACCACCAAGCCTAGACTGGGATTATTCTTATAAAAGGTAAAATGCAGCAAAAAAATGCAGGTTAATTTTTCTTACTATCATTAAATTTTCAATCATAGCCATACTCAGTTTATTATATTAAGATATTTATAATAATTCTTTTAGTAATAGGTCATTTATATTATAGATTTTCTGGGTACTAGCCAAAATTCTCAGCAAATTTACCATAAAATATAAAACAATTTTTTTTTTTTTT